GCGGGTGTGGGTCCCTTCCCCCCAGCCAGTGGCAGGTGTGCGCTAAGACCCCGCTCAACGCCTGATCCACAGCCCCAGACAGACAGACGGGCCAGTACCCGGCTAGGCCGGGGCAGTGGGTCCGCACCCGCCCTCCGGGGCACCTGAGCCCGCCGCTTACCTCCCCTGCGGTGGACAGTCCCGCCTGCCCGCTGCCCGCAAACCACGGGCCAGGCTGTTTACACCCGGAGAACACGCGCGAGCCCGTGCCTGTGCGCTAACGGGCTATATTTGTAAGCGGATAATATGATCTGGGGACATGTGCTGATAAACTGTCTATCTATTCTATGTGACTCAGCCCGGCCGGAGACAAAACAGACTTCTGGGGGAGGGTTTGGCGCGGAGAACACCCAGCCAGCCAATCTGAGCCGGGGACAGGGTTGTGGGTTATGAGTCTGCTCGTCTCCACCGCCCGACCTCTGCGCGCTGGAAATCCTCGCATTAAACCAAGTAGGGCCAGAGAGGGAGCGGGTTCCTGTTCCCAGCGCGCTCAGCTGGGGACCCAGCAAGAAGCCGGGGACCAACCAGGTGTCCAAGCGTTTCCAACGCGGGAGGCAGCCGATGTTGAAGGCCGCGATGCCATCCTATTTTTCCTTTTTAATTTTCTGAAATGTCTTCAGATTAGGTGTTCTTTAGCTTTTACTAACCCGGTATATCCGTTCTGATGGCCAGCATTGGGACAATTTGTCAAGAAGTTAGTGATCAGCAATCAAGCCCCTTATGGTTTCCGGGGGTCCTATGGCGCCCCCTGTATCTTCACTCAAAAACTGAAAAATAGACCTATTATCTAATATCTACGTTACAATTTTAATTACAAAATTATTTTATTTTGAAATAATTATTTTTTCTTTTTTAAAGAATTATTTACTTGGGACCAGCAGTTAGCATAATGGCTATGTCGCTGGACTCCCATGTAGCCGACCGCGGTTCAAGTCCTGGACCCGTTGCCTAAAACTCACACCGGGAACGCATGCGTACATGCCCAAGATCCCCAGAGGAGAATGGAAGAGAAGGGATTGTGGTGTGGCCATTCCCCCTGGGGGGTGATTTCTCTCTTTCTGTCTCTCTGTCTCTCTCTGGCGAGCACACGCGCCCTATAGCAAAAACCTCTCAAAAAAAAAAAGATTTACTTAATTGTGTTTGTTATTTTTAAAGAAGTATTTATTTAAATCCATTTGTTATTGTTAGTTTTAATTTAATCAGAGACAGAGAGAGAAAGGCAGAAAGCGAGCCACCAGCTCTGGGACTCAAACCATGGTCAGCCGGTAGGAATCCAGTGCCTTTAACCACCACGCCACCTTCTGGCCCCTGTTATTATTATTTTTTTAATTTGACCAGAGAGAGAGAGAAAGAGAAAGGGAAAGTGAGAAAGCAAGCCTCCAGGTCCAGGACTCGAACTGTGGTTGGCCAGATGAGAGAGTCCAGTACCTTAACCACCATGGTTAATGCCACCTGCCAGCCCTGAAAGGATTATTTTCTAATGAAACATTTTCTATTTGTTGATATTTATAATCATTGACATTTATAATTGATTACTCCAAATTGTCTACTAAGTTGTTGGTGGGGTGCCATAAACATGAAGGTGTGGACTCCCACATGATGGACCTCACAGCCTGAAAATCAGTCCCTGAAGTGTGGCCATCCAGGGGCTGGGAAGATGAGTTCTCACTTTCCCACTGTCTCTTTCTGGCAAGTGCACACCCCCTATGACAAAAACTCTAAAAAAACAAAAGCAAAACAAACAAAAATATATGACTACGTTAAATCCTACCTCTAAAGTGTTGAATGTTCTTTTTTATTACTTAGGGTACAGTTTTTTTAATTATTTTTCTTATTTGATAATTACCTCTTCAGTAATTAGTATTTACTTTGAGGGTTTTGTTTTGTTTTGTTTTCTGGCTATTCTGAACAAAAGAACATAAACTGAAAAGGCAGTTTCTGTTTAGATACTACTTAAATACTATTTCAGTTTATATAAGACCTAAATACTCAAAAGCTTAATAATATTTAAGTGGAAAAATAACCTTTTTCTTAAGAAATATTTTCGGGATACTCCACCATTGCTTCTGATTCACAGTCAGGGGTGTGAATCACAAATGATTTCAAAATACAGCAGGATACCTTCAGGACCTAGGCCTTGGAGAAGGAGGGGCCCACAGTGCAGCCCAGGCCCCTCGGACTACAGAAGTGCCCAAACAAGGTAGAAACATTCAGCAAGTCAAAGTAGAGGATAGGGGCCAGCTGGGGGCATGGTGGTCAAGGCAGCTGGATCCCACATGGCTGACTACATTGTTCGAGTCCCAGGTCCATGGGCTTAAGACACACGCCAGGTGGGGGCTAGCAGGTGGAGTGGTGGCTAAGGGCCCTGGACTCACACATGGCCAAATGAGGTTCAAGTCCTGGACCTGGCGGCTTGCTTCCTCACTTTCCCTCCCTCTCTCTGTGTGTCCCTCTCTGATCAAATTAAAATGAATGAATGAATGAATAAATAAATTCTTTAAAAGAAAGAAACACGGCAGGGACATGTGCATCGTGCCAAAAATCCCAAAAGGAGGGAGAAATAGAGGAGAAGGGCTTATGTGTGACCATGCCCCCTGACAGGTGCTTTCTCACTTTATTTTCCCCACTCTTTCTGTTTCTGTCTCTCTATAAGAAGTACCCGTACTCTCTGGCAAAATTTTTTTAATGAAGTTTAAAAGTGTTTGTACTTGGGACCAGCAGGTGGCATGGTGGTTAGGGTGCACTGTGGCCCAGCCCCTCTCCTCTTTATTTTTTTTAAATTTTATTTATTTATTTATTTATTTAAATTTGACCAGAGAGGGACAGAGTGAGAGAGAGAAAATGAGAAAGCAAGCCGCCAGGTCCGGGAC